TAGTCGACCATTAATTAAGAAAGGGAATGTAATTGTATTTTAGAAATAGCAAGATACTAGTTGGGTTTTAACGCCGATATAGTGTTCATTTCATTTAGAGCCAATTACAAAAAAATTGAAAAATAAAACAAATATAGAAACTTTATAATAACAAGCTTTTGAACAAAGCTTTTTAAAAGCAAATTTGTTTTATTTTCTTACTTTTTCCAGTGTTTCTAAAAGCTTATTATCATAAGGTTTTTATAATTTTAAATTGAAAACCTAAAATAAAATAAAAATTGTTTTTGTTTTTCTAAATTTGGCACAAATTTTGCAAATTTGTGAAATTGCACACTGCGCCGAAGAGCACTGCTTTTGAAACCAACCCAGGAAAAGGAATCGAAAAGACTTGTGATATGGTGAGTAGTTTCTTGAAATGCATGGATCTACGTGAAATCTTGTTATTCGTTTGTAAGAAACAGCGGGGAAGTTTGCGATGGTTTGGTTTGGTAGGAGGATTTTTTTGTGGTGTGTTTTTATATAACGTATGCAAATAAATGCCCAGAACACTTGTTTCCGATACTTATCATGTGGGTGTACTTGTGTTTCATTTAAAACTTAATTATTTCATTACAATATTTTATGACAAATAATTTCTTTTTTTTTAGCGATCACTGTTTCCTTCATACATTTTTATCCGTGGGGGTGGGGAGGGGGAGGGGGGTGACACATTACCGGGAGGTGGAGGAGGGGGGGGGACGACGACGACGACCCATTAAAGCTTATATATTCTATATATATATGGGTGTGTGTGTGTATGTGGGGGGGGGGGGGGGGGGTTGGACGTGCTTTGAGATGCCTGAAAGAAACTCTATTTTAGCTTAAGCTCACAAAGCTCTAAAAGTAGACTTAAGTTATTAAAAACTAAAACAAACTTATTTATTAAAGCATATGTTATTGTATGCTTTCGGTGCTGCAATTCTCGCATGACTTTTTACAGATTGTACTTATTTCATCTTATTAATATTTTCGGGAATTAAAAACAATGAGTATTTTTTAAAACCTTTTTTTTTTTGGTGTTTTTGTTGTCGCTAATGTTATTGAAATTAAATAATTAAACATAAAATTACCTGTACAGAAAGGGAGCCTAGAGAGGCTTATAACAACAACAAAAATGAGTGGCCTTAAAAAATAATACTCAATCACAAATATGATAGTATCACTGATTTATGTGTAGCATTTTGACTGGTAGTTGCTAACAAAACAATATTTTCAACTTCTTTTCTTAAAACTTTAATTGTACGCGGCTGCCTATCCTTACGTGTATTTCTATGTGAATGCGTACGATTACGTTTGTACGTGTACGTTTTGTGTAGGTGTACTTGTACTTGTATGGGTGTGGGTCAGGGGCGTAGCGAGGGGGGGGGGTTCGGACCGCACCGGGTGACACCATTTAGGGGGGTGACACCAAGGCAAAAAATAGCAAAATATATAGAGAAAAAGAAAAAGTTGAGGGGGGGGGGGGTGCAAATCGAAAATTTGAAAGTTTGTCCCCGGGAAGGGTCGCTACGCCTCTGGGGGGGGGGGGGGTGACACCATTAAGTGCCGCACCGGGTGACACCCGACCTCGCTACGCCACTGGTGTGGGTATGTGTATTTAGGAAACGCCAACCTTTTCACCCAAGACTATCTTATCCTCGCTTAACAAAGCTCCACATCGACACAACTATCACATCTAATCCAATCCATCTTTTTTTTTAAATTTTATTTTATTTTCAGGGAGATGAACTAACATGTCATTCGGCCAAAGCGAGGCTGTCGTCTATCACCGATGAGCCCACGGTCGTCAAGCTGTCGGCGGCGTCCGCTCACACGTGGAGAACGACGCACGTGAAACACAATGACAGCGCCGCATCTCACCTCCAACCTTTGACCCGCCACCAGCGGGGAGATGAAAACAGGGACACTTTCGGTCCGGGTTTCGAGTCCGGCTGCGCAGAGCTCCGGAGATCAAGGACGGTCATTGACGTGTCCGAGAAACGTCTGCTCCGCCAAGACGGGGCGGAGAGTGTTGTACACATCAGACAAACAGACGAGAGCCATTGCGAATACGCCAATCAACATACCGGAATCGACGATGGAAATGAGATTAATAACATAAAATCCCGAGACAGATTCGGGGTACGTAAATTGAACCGGAAGTACAGAAAAAAATATTTCGATTCCCATTTTTACTCCGAACCATCTCCAGGCTCAACTGTAACAGATCAGAACTACAGGCCCGTATTCAGGAAACGTGCACGAGTAAGGAAGGTCATTAGCAAAAGACGCAGTAAAAAGATCGTTATTTGCTCAGTGTCACAGTCCACTTCCGGCCACAAAGTGAAACCAGAAGAGGCGGAGCACCCGAAGATCAAACACGCCTACTTCAGCCCCCGCACTGGCATGTACATCTGCAGTATTCGCTGCCGTCAGGCTATCTCTTGCAGACGTGGTAGGGGTGGCAACTCTTCCATGTACCGGAGGAACCGACACCGCAAGGTGAGGCTCAAAAATAGGTCACAGTTATTCCCCGTGGCCGCGCATGCGCCGATAGAAGTCAGTGAAGAGCATAGGTACATCGAGCAGAAAGTTTTGAGCTTCATGGAAAGAAATAACTCCAGGCTTCTGGCATCGGAAAACGAGGCTAATGCTACACCCGAATCACTCTTCCGTGACGACCTCGAGCTGGAAGAACGGATTCATCATTTATACGGTATCCAGAAAAGATTTTTTTCTCATTATATAAAGCATCGGCGGCATCAGAGAAGGGAGACTTTTCAAGAGCGGGCCGATGCGGCGTATTCAAATATAGGCCAAGGCGACATGATGAGGTTAGAGCAACCCAGTGGTTTTAAAGACGAGGCGTTGGTAGAAGGTATAAGACACGATGACGTGGCTCATGATGAGCAGACGACAAACAAGTCAGACTCGACGTGTCCCGATTTACAACCTAAAACCGATCACCCCGGAAGTCACTTGCAGAAGAAAAGTCGCCGGAAACATAAATTAAGGCGGAAAACATCTTCCTCCAAGAAACTTCTTCCGCTTCCCGAGTTTAAGACACCACCCCAGGAGACCAACATTCAGCTTGGGATCAACACCTTACCCCAGACGGACCAGGCACCAACATCTTTGCATCAAAACGAGGACACTAACCTTTATGAAAAAGTTACCAACGACCCAAAACACAGCTTAAAAACTGGACAAAGTAAAAAAGAGCACCGAGGACATCGTAGGGTTTTACAACTTATCGAAACAAAAGATAACTCAGTCGCCCCCTCACCCCGAACACAGGAAGCGACCGACTGGGCAGAGTTGAACACCCAACCACACGGCCGCCCTAAGATCAAGCCGTACCTGTTGCCACAGGTGCACAAGAAAACCCACTTCAAGCTGCACCTAGCCAGACCACAGCACGAAGAGCCACCACAGAAAACACAAGCAGCAGCGTGCACGCCCAACCACAAGATGAACGGGTACCCGGAGCCCTTCACCGCCGGCGCCCACTACCCAATCATTAAGTCGTGCAGTCTGCAGGAGCGACCAAGTCACCTCAGACAGTGTCAGCGAGAAGGCGTCGGTGGTGATGCCGTTGTTAAGTCTGGTAAGTCTTTTCTACAGAAGATTTAAGTCTTTTCTACAGAAAATGTAAGTCTTTTCTACAGAAAATGTAAGTCCTTTCTACAGAAGATGTAAGTTCTTTCTACAGAAGATGTAAGTCTTTTCTACAGCAGATGTAAGTCTTTTCTACAGAAATGTAAGTCTTTTCTACAGAAATGTAAGTCTTTTCTACAGAAGATGTAAGTATTTTCTACACAAAATGTACAAAATGTAAGTCTTATCTACAGAAACGTAAGTTTTTTTCTACAGAAGTTTAAGTCTTTTTTACAGAAGTTTAAGTCTTTTTTACAGAAGATTTAAATATTTTCTTCAGAAGCTTAATTATTTCCCATGGAAGATAATTAAATTACCGTCATATTAAATAATGCCGGCTTTCGCCAACACACTGGAAACTAATTTAAAAAAAAAAAGATGGTTGTAAATTATTTGGATAAACGGACGTATTTATTCATGAGTTGAATGGGCATGTTTTTTTTGTAAATAGTCGAGTCAGAGAGATTGAGTGGGAGAGAGACAGAGGGGCGGAGTGGGTGTTGACGGGGGGGGGGGGGGGGGGGGGGGGATGACGCAAAAAATTATATTTACGAATGGCATTGAACTTTTAATAATTTCCCCCACAGATATTCCCAATAATCAAAATGTAAGTACCCAAACATGTGCCGTCCTCTTGAGTTTCAGTGAGTTTATATACTTCAAGTTTTGATTTGAGTTCATTTGAAATTTAAAACCAAATTGTTTCGCTAACCTCTATGCTTGTTTTGATGCTACTATATCGATAATTGTATGCCGTGATTAATTACCGATAACAAATCAATAAATGTTCCAATGCTGTGCATGCAATAATGGAATATAAAAATGGATCTATGGCAGTTGCCCAAAAGTAATTTCCTTGAATGCCTTTTGCCCCAATCTTGTAAAGAAAAAAAATAGTTTTAAAAATAAATAACTTAGTCTGTATATTATTTAAGTAAAACATCGTAATGAAATCAACAATATAAATGGGCAGCGTTTTAAAAAATTGCTTTTGGGCATTCTAAACACCGTTAATTAAACTTTTGGAATGTAAATCTAACAGAAGATAAAATGCCCAGCAAAAAACTTTACATCAGACCACAATGTCTTGTTGTCAATGATAATGTCATTTCTAAAGACTACATACAAGCTGTTCTAAAACTACAGTGTGTTGAATGTTTTGTTGTCAATCTAAGCCTTTGATGTTTATGGTTGTAGTGGGTTGTTCAATAACTATTGAAGCAAATTAAATAATTGAACTAATTAAAGTAGCTATTTTTTCGGTTTGGTCTCGACTCCCCCCCCCCCTCACACACACGCTCCCGAACTTCTTCTAGTTTTGTTTGTCCTTAGTACTAGGAATCTATATAATAGAGGGTTTCAATCAGTAACTGTGCCATTTTGTCCCGCTAGCTAATTTCATTGTACCGTTCGTCTTTTTGAAGGGCCACTACTCCAACTCGGTAGTGGTGGGGTAGGCATTCAGGACGGATTGCCTGCCCTTACTTCCGATCAACAGATACCGCTGTAGGTATAAAACTCGATATTTAAATGATCTGAAATCGATAATAAAAATCAGCGGGCTGTAAGCCACAGATTATGTGTTCCTGTGTTACATTTGAATCGGCGCGCACACACTGACATATTGGCTGAACGGGGGAAATTTTTTTCCCCTTATTATCAGGAGATTAGTGTGACGTCATGAAATAGGTCAAGAACCGATATCAACGACACACCGTGTGTGTGATTCTGCCACTCGCAAATTGGTTTTTGTCTCGCGGTCTAATAATACAGACACTCGCTAAAGGTGGACTGTGCTTCTGTGTGTTGGTCTCGTACTATAGTGTGTCAACACGAACGTATTGTAGTCGTTGATAGGGGAATTTTACTCAAAAATTACTGGACCAAAATACTCAATGGACTAATATGTGTATTGATTTCCGAACCAAAGACTTATTTTCTTAATCTGAAATGTCATCATACTAAAAGGATTGACGGATACTTTGTTGCTGAATTTTTCTCGTTGGCTGTTTCAATTGAAATTGAAAACTGGTAATCTTTGCTGAAATGTAAACAGAATTCTCGAGGAAGGGAATCTAGACTTCTGAAAAACATGACAGCAACAACCAACTGGCAATATCTGACTGAACTAATTTTTCTATAGAGCTGTGTGGTGTTGACATTGTCTTAGAAACGCTGGTGCCGCAAGAGTCATAGAACAGGCACATACTGCATACAACTACTGAAGGACAAAGAGTTCCTTGTCAGACAGCGCCAACGTATTAAAGAAAAGAAAAAAAAACAACCTTGTATTTTGTTCACGTGAAAAGTTTTCTACAGACAGTTAATTGAAAAAAAAAAGACCCTACCACCTTACTCCGGAATCCTAGAAAAAAGTTTTTGTATTGGAATCAGTAAAAGATACTCGTTTATCTTAATGCACTGAGGATGAAAATTCTCAACTCCATGATGTTTTTCGAGCAGGTATGAAGAAAAATATTTTTTTTTTAAGGTCTGGAGCAGATATTTAAAAAAAAAAGAAATTATTGGCATTTTAATCACATGACGTACCAGGTTGTAAATAACGTAAAAGAATAAATCATTGTACTCTAAATAATCTAATAATAAATATGTTATATGACTTTTATAACCACCGGGTCAGTGTCAGTGATTCTTTCTGACACATTGCTTTAGAGGCAGCACTTTCCGGGTCTCAGTGTCCGATCTACTCCTCCCCCCCTTCCCCCAATACACAGACACACTGCTCAGTGCTTGGGCAATCGTTAATTTAACTATTACTGTGGATATGATATACTGTTATACATTAATATACTAATACATTTAAGTATAAATGTATACATTTGCATATATATATATATATATATATATATATATATATATATATATATATATATATATATATATATATATATATATATATATATATATATATATATATTCTTTGAGTAGAAGCCAAACAGATTAAGTTGATTCCGTAGAATAAAGGGACCACCAGGTGTTTCTAAATGTTTTCTGACCAGTATTTCAAGTCGCAACCCATCCATTCCCAACGCATTGATCAATGCCTAGCTACCCTTACCTCTGTTAACTGGCATGACTTTATGCCCCAACGCTACGTCATGACGCCACACCACGCGAGGTCATGACGCCTCCCCGCCTCGTACGTTTCCTTATCTTGTAATTAGCTCTTGTAATCTGTAGGTATCGAGTAGTGGGGTATTAGTACTAACGCGTGTAATGAATGTACAGGGACACCCAAGTCACAAGAATGAATCGAACCAATGTGTCGAAGTAATAACTAGCTGTGTTAGACTGAGGTAGGAGCAGAGGTGGAAGTACTGACCACGGTGGTGGACACTGGTTGATTGGGGTGGATTATGGTAGATGGGTGGAGCGCGGTGATGTGGTGGGTTACAGTGGATAGACCTCCTCGGTTTGGACTACACAGTAGGCTACTTGACTCCGCTGTGTGTGGGGTGGGCTGGTGATTGATGACGGCATGTGGATCTAGCCATTGCGTTTCTTTTTTAAAGGGTGTGTCTCTCTCTTTCTTTTTTTTCTCTCTCTCTCTCTCTCTCTCTCTCTCTTTATCTAATATATAAAGCTCAGTTCTGTATGTAATGCATTTGTATGTCGTTGGAATTGTACGAATTTAAGTGTTAGAAAATTAGCGTGCGCATTTGTCTAAATTTATGAGCTAAAAAATTACCATTGAAAGTGTTGGGAAATAATTTTCATTTTTCAAATTATAGTAATAATTGTCGGCATGTTCATTCAACACAAGTTTTAAAAAAAAATATCATCTTTTACAAAAATTCTAATTATGTCTTTATTTAGTCCTATAGCACTTACTTCCCTTTGATAAATTAGGAAAAACACAATTACTTCCCTTTATAAAACCATTGAATTCCGTGAAAATAATTTACTTTTTAATTACTTTGTTTTGGTGTTGGGAAAAAAAAATAATTACATAATTAGCGGGGATTGATCAAGTGCAAATGTTGTAGGTATTTTACGGATAAGCTTGGAGTATTAAAATTGTTTATTAAATTGAAACAGGCGCGTTCGTTTAAGTGAGTGCAAAAGACTGTGAATAAGTTGGGGTACTATAGTCGTTCATTAAGCTAAAACAGGTGATTCCGCCCCGGGCGTTTATGTTCGCGTTAGTGTTTTCTTTGTGTTTAGGTGGGTTTGCGTTAGTGGTTGCGTTTTAATTTGGTTCGTTTTTGTTCTTTCTTTTTTCGTTTTTGTTTGTGTTTTTTTTGTTTGGGTTTGTATTTGTGTTTTTGGTTGGTTTTGCGTTTGGATTTGGTTTGTTTTCGTTTGCTTTTTTCGTTGATTTTTTTTTGTTGGTATTGGTGTTTGTGGTTGGGTTTGTTGTTAGGTTTTTGTTTTCGTTTGCTTTTTTGTTTGTTTTTTCTTTGTGTTTGTATTGGTGTTTGTGGGTGTGGTTGTGTTTGTTGTTAAGTTTTTGTTTTCGTTTGTATTTGTAATTGTGTTAGCGTTATGTTTGCGTTTTGTTGTTTTGGTTTTGGTTGGTTGTGGTTTGGGTGGGCAATGCCGGGTTTATGATGATTACTAAACACACAGGTAATGGTCTTTAACAGAAAGGTTTTTCACAGAAGCCAGAGCAGGGCCTGGCCGGGACGGCTAGTATATATATATATATATATATATATATATATATATATATATATATATATATATATATATATATATATATATATATATATATATATATGGTGGGGCATATACAAATATATTGAAACCATAGAAAACGGGACATAACATTAATTACAGTAAGCAACTTATTTTTTCACCTCCTGTTTCCTGAAATTTGTTCCCCCTCCCACCCCCCCCACCCCCAAAATCACCCCATAGATCAACCTTTGGCTGGTCGACGAAAGGACGGGTTGGAATAAACTAAAACAGGAAAAAGCGTGACTGTGTGGCACTACAATAGACTTCAGTGAACTGCTATAAACAAAAGCCCAATGAAACACTAGACATTGTAAAAGTTGCCTGAAGTGTAAACCTCAAATTGACAACAAATAAGTGTTTGACAGCATATCAAAAATCACGGCCCAGTAACATTTCTTGTACAGATCGATATGCTTCACAATGGACTATACTTAACAATGTGTCGTCACAATGATGTACACGCCTCATTCTCTAACACACGGCAAAATCAATCATGCCTGAAACCATATACTATCATCGATAAATATTCTAAGTGTAGGCTAACGTTTCTAGGACAGCTTAAATTCTTTTATATGTTTCCCTCAAGTGAACGGCATTAAATGTTCTGTATAAATCTAACTGTGGACACACAAAACATTTAAAACCTACATTCATCATCTCAGAATAGGTAAAGTATGTATCGATACACGCGATATTCACATTACTAGCAAATCACAGTGCTTGAACTTTTACCATAATATATTACGTTGATCAAGCAAAACCTCTTCGGGTTTATGTATCGATATCGGCACTTGCGATTCGATTACGGCGGTAAATCGAAAGTCCTAAATTACTTGATGGTTTATTTACGTTATATGACTGAGTTAATGTGAAAAACATTATAATCTATTATAGAAATACACACGT